TAGATATAAAGTCGTCCAAGTTAAAACTATTTGGCTGGAATCAGTGATGAGTATTGTGTCTCTTTTGCTTCCTTGCATCAGAACAGGTGCAGTGTTTGTTGATTTACCATCAGTGCTGCTGAGATTCGCCAGTGAGTTGTATTCCTATCCTCTCCTTCCCCAAAGGAAGTAGAAAGTTAACTGTTTGGTGTTACTTTGTTACTGTTTGAGTACCTGTATGTAATCCACAACTGTCACTTGGTTTTGATTCATTGTATCCCTCTATCAGGTTTCCAAGGCTGTAAATCTTTATAAGAGACCACCTCCATTTCCTACCTCGGAGCAGGCTGGTGGAGTCAAACTTCCAGCTTTTTGTTTGGTACCCTAATATATAATGCTCTATGCCAGACAGAATTCCTTTTCATATATATTTTTACCTTTGTCATCTTTTGCTGAGAGAAAAATATATGGCATATTACCAAGTGCTTTGAACTTCTTATTCATTCTATCTGTGGAAATAAATCTATTCCATTTTTCTTGTGGACATTCAGAGTCCCAATACTTCAAGCTGATTTCTATGGATTACATTTAAAAAACTCGCTTTTTCACATTCCCTGAGATTTCTTTTAATTATATTTTTTGCTAATTTGAGGTGCTCATGTTGTATAACCTGGAGAGTGTTCTCTACCAGCCCATAGCGCACACCTCTCTGGCGATCCGAACCTGCCAGCACTTTGTGGGAGAAAGATGGGTGGTCTCCTCTTGTGCAGTTTGAAGCCTTGGGAAACCCACGAGAGGGTCAACTGTGGGCTGGTTCTGACTCAAGGAGGATGAGTCCGGAGTCTAGTCTTTGGTTAATTCTACCTTTGGAAAAATATTTCATCACATCCTCTTGGTTGGCTTATAATTGCTTTCTCTCTTTTCCATTCTGGAATATATAATTAACTACTTCTCCAGAAGGGCTGTATGAGCAGTTAACTTTCTGAGTTTTCAAATACTTGGAAAAGACCCTTCCCCCTTTTTATCTGTGTGGTGGTCTGTCCTGGTATAGAGTTATATGTTTAAAAAGAACTTACTTGTTTGAAGTGTGAGGCAAAAGGATTCAGGTGTGGAAATGGAGGTAGGGAAACTTTTGACAGGTTATTTTGTGTAAGCTTCAGTTTGCCCATCTGTGAACAGGGATGGTAATAGTGATTTCAGATAGGTTTCCTGGGAAACTGGCTTGGAGGTCGGTGGGCAGGAAGTGTACTGAGCAGTGGAAGGGAAGGAGAGGGCAGGATTGGGCCTGTGGAGAAGCTGGGCTGTAGTGCAGTGACTGGAGGCCTCGTGTGGAGCTGATCCCGCATGGAGCACAGGGCCCGAGATGGCCCTGCAGAGATGTACCCCTGCGATGCGAGGAGCTGGGCCGTTGCGCCCTCGAGGAGACTTGCAGGGGTGGGCCTCGGTGGGAGAGTGAGCCTCCCCAGGTGTGGGTGTTCTTAGAGAGGACTTGCTGGCTGTGCTCTCACATGCTGGGCCGTGAGGCCACAGGCCTGGACCACAGCGGTGTGAGCAGTGCATCTGACTCCACCTCCGTTTACAGGACTGCACAGAATCCAGCCAGTACGTCTTTTCCAGCTCAGGGGCCCCACAAGCGTCAGGTTAGGACTGGGCTGAGAGGGCTGATGGTGTCTGACCTCCGAACACATCCCCAGGCTTTTCTCCCAGCATTTTATTTATTCATTTTCCCATTTCTTTCTTTTTTAAATCTCCAGCCATTTGGTTGGTGGCCCAGAACTCTAAGCATTCCAGGGACTTTCTAGCATGAAATAATTCACTCGTTGCTGTCAAAGCCAGCTCATAGCTGACGCCCCAGCAGGTGCCTCTGGTGGATTCAAACCACCAGAGTTAGCAGCTCAACTCTACCCACTAGGCCAACAGAGTTTCCTAGCATGTAGTAGGCTCTCAAGAAATGTAATTTTTTTAGTAATTATGATTATTATTTTATTATTATTATTATTAATTTTAATGAAAGCTTACAGACTTTGGATTTCCATTCATTCATTGTTATACTTTTCTCCCTGCCTACCCCTCCTCCCCAGTTCTCTCTTCTCTTTGAAAAGTAAAAGAAAAATTCTAAATAAAAAGAAGAGAGGTGGCATGTGTTTTTTGGATTTGCCTAACTTTGAGGGCCTACTCTAATCCTGGGAGATTGTCTTTTGATGAGAATAGAGGCAGCCTGCCTGAGGCGGTTGGGGTCCTGTCTGGCTTTGGGGTGGGCAGTGTGTGCAAGGCAGCGCCTAGAGGGGTGAGGGGTTTGTCTGACACACACTTTCTTAGCACGGACTGTGTGCCAGGCTCTGTTCACGATGCTCTTAACTCTCATGACCATTTCCAGTGAGGAAACAACACTGTTATTTTCTCCACTTTACAGAAGAGGACAGAGTCACAGAGGGAGGATTGTGCCCATGGCCAGAAAGGGTCTGTCCCCTGTCCCCACTCCAGTAATGACTGGCGTGCCCACTGTCTAGATGCCGTGGACCTGGAGTTACTTATTTGACATGGATGGCTGTGGAGAACTAATATTGACATAGCTCTTCTAGTGAGACTTAACTTGGACATGAGCTTGACTCCAGGACCAAAACTCAAGCAGACTAACCTGAGTTTATTGTGAGGATCCCATGAACCCACCAGAATCCTGTAATAGTGGACGGAACTGCATCTCCAGGGAGAGCAGTGTCTCTCCCGCCCCCCCCCCCCCCCCCCGTCACTCCTCTCTTTTTCTGTCTGTTCCTAGCCCCCTGCCTCTGTCTGCAGACCAGCACTTTCCACGTTGGTACCTGCACACCTGTGGTTGGGCCTGACCACCTCGTCCCCTTATCCGTCTCACCAGGGCATGGTGGCACATGCCATTTCTGGGTTGTCTGTTGAATAGATATGTGGGAGGGGAAGGGAAAAGAGGGGCCTTTTTACCCCCCGAGCGTGAGGTGCAGCAGCCTTGCCATGTGGATACCTCCCCACTTGGTGAATGAGAAAACTGGATCTCAGAGAGACCGTAGATAGAGGGTGGACCTCTGCCACCCACAGCAGCTTCCAGATCTTGTAGCAAAACAACACGCATGCCCATGGTTTGAGCTGTGTCAGGATGGGCAGTGGTGCTGTCCCCTTCAAGGCTTTACCTCTAGACCACTTAGTGCAGCGGTCACTGCAGGGGCTTTGATGACCCTGCTGGTGGCCCCAACCTCACGTCCAGGCAGCCCACCTGCAGCGTGGCAAGGCCTGGCTCTGCATGGTCTGCTCCAACACAGCTGCAGGCAGACCTGCCATTGACGTTCCTTCTTGACTGTTCAGGGTTTGGTTGACCCGAAGGAGAGGGCCAGAAAGCCACTGACCTGGAGATTTGTTTTTCTCCTCTCTACAGCCGAGTGTTTAAGACGGACATGGAGCTGGAAGTGTTGCGCTACACCAACAAGATCTCCAGTGAGGCTCACCGAGAGGTAAGTCGGGCCCGGGCTTCCCTTCTCGTTTGTTGGACTTTGTGCCCTGGCTGGGTTTGCCAGCAGCACTGCACTGTGTGGACAGCGGGGCAGTACCACAGTGGACAGTCACAGGATGTGCCTCAGTCCCTGAGCTGGGAGCAGGCCAGGGTCTCACTTCAGACAGCCCCTCATGGAGGTGTCTCTTTTTGTGCCCTTGTGAGGACAGGGCCAGGCGAGCTTCGGCCCCAGATGCACACAAGCAGTATGAGGGGAGGGCAGGGCCAGGCGAGCTTCGGCCCCAGCTGCACACAGACTGTATGGGGTGAGGACAGGGCCAGGCGAGCTTCGGTCCCAGCTGCACACAGACTATAGGGGGTGAGGGCAGAGACTCCTACTTTCACGGGACTAGCAGGCGCTGACACTTGTCGGATTTTTCAACAACTTCCAGGAGGGAAGTCTCTCCTTCCTGCTGTCCCGGCAGTCCATGGCTAATTTAAAATTAGTCCTTATTCAGGATTCAAGCCCATTTATCACTGACACCTATTTTTTTTTTTTGAAAACAACTTCTCCTGGGGCTCCCCTGAACCTCCCTGCTCTTCTTGGGATGAGACCGATAAGGAAGTAGTCTCCTTGGAGGGTGCTCGGGAGGGCAGTCACCCCGAGTCTCCTTGGTGACAGCCATAGCTCCTGTTAGAAAACAGACAAGAGCAGTTTATAGCCACAAGCTCTGTACGAGTTCAGTGTCTCTGTGTTTCTTGAAAGTTAGATAAAGGAAAAGTCGTTGAGCAATAGTCCGTTTTAGCCCCCTTGGCACCGAGCTCCCCTAGGTGCCTCAGTTGACTCCTCACGCATCCCTGTCCTGCCATCTCTGGCATTGGGCAGTTGTGTTCACACTCAGCAGAAGTGCTTTGTGGTAATTTAAATAAACTATGGATTTTGGAGCCTGAAAAAGAAAACAACCCCCCAAAATCTTTCAGTTTTGCTACATTCTTTGTACCACCTTATATGTCTCTTTTTTTTAAAAAAGGAGACCTTCTTTAAAAAATTTTATATTGGTTTGCATACAAAATTTATATTCAGCGTGTATCATTCATATATGTGTGTTTCGGTTTCCTTCATTCACATGTGTTTGCAGCGATCACTCATATACGTTGTTGTTGTGTACCACAGAGTTGGAACCGACCCAGAGCTGACCCTCGGTGGGTTTTCAGAGGCAGTTAATCTCACGGGAGGAGATTGCCCAGCCTTCTCCGCAGAGCGGCTGGTGGCCTGTTTTATAAAATTCCTCACCATTGATCTATGCCTACCATTGCCCCATCTTCTCAGGTCCCCACTGGATCTTTCCTAACTCCTTCACACAGGTGCCCCCTGCGCTCACCACAGTCTGTTATCCTAGGGACTCCCTAGCCCTCCCCCCACAAGGAGAGTCTCTTGAAAAATGTGCTATCCATTATTTATGAGGCTGTGTTCCTTATCTCCTTAACACAAATCTCTCGGCTTAATATTCATCCTCCAGGTAATGAAGGCTGTAAAAGTGGGAATGAAAGAATATGAGATGGAAAGGTAAGCTGCCGTGTTCCTCTGGGTAAAGATTAAAATGTTTCTGAAAAAACCCACCACCAACCAACCAGTAATTTATGTTCCCGAGCTTGTTACAGATGAGGTATGGCGGCGGCACAGATTGAGGGGGGGTCTTACGCACGGGGGGGCTGTGCGATCCTGGGCAGAGATGGCTTTCCCCGGCTGGGGCCGCCTCGCCAGCTCTTGGCAAGGTGTTGGATGGTAATGGTCTTTGATTACTTTTCCGGGTGCTTTAGTGCCCGTCAACCCACCCTTGGATTTTGTTTCCGTGATTTGCTGGAAACTTGACCAAATAGCTGCTATTGTGGCTCTGAAAGCCCCTAGTAAAACAGCTTGCTGTTTTCCTGTGTAAATACTGCCATTATGTCTGCTCTGCTCGGACGAGTGGGTCATGGGGTGGTTAAGTGGCTCATAAAATGCTCTAGAGAGCTCTGCTGGCAACAGAACTCCACTTAGGCCTTCAGTGAGTCACACCGGGTATGGCCCAGGCAGCCCGTCAGCCCTGTGCCAGGGCCCCTGGAGCGCGTGCTGCCCGTGAGGTGACAAACCCATTGGGAGAGACCCCAGTGGACCTGCAGCTTCTCCTCTCTGTGTGCCCTGGGCAGGATTCCCTCTTCTAGATTTTTCCACCAGTGAACCCTACCTGGAAGCTTACCAGGGTAAGGGGTGCTGAAGAAGCTGCTGTTTCTTTTTCCCTCTGCACCCCCTTTTTTTACGTGTATGGCCTTGATTTCTGCTGGTTCCACTTGCCTGAGGGCCCGAGTTTATCCCAGACGCTGTTGGGCTGTTCTTGGAGCTCTCTGGCCCAGAGTATGACTCTGAGGAGCAGGTTTTCCTACCAACTTTATGCCCTGCCCACGTGGCAGGTGTAGGGTGATAGGCTGAGAGACAGGGGTCAGCAGTGGGCCATGGAGGCTTTTTGCTTACTGCGTGGTGACTTGGGGATGATGGTGTCAGGTGCCTGCGTGGTGAGTATGACTTATAGTGACCTTACGAGCAACTGATCTGGACCCTGCCCTGTCCTGTGCCAGCCTCTTCATCTCTGACACACTTGAGCCCAGTGCTGCTGTCACTGTGTTAATCCATTTGGTTAAGGGTCTTCCTCCATTTCACCTGCCCTCCATCTTTCCTTGCAAATCCCTTTCTAGGAAATAGCCTCTCCTAACAACTTGCCCAAAGTATGTGAGATGAAGCTTTCTCATCCTTGCCTCCAGTGAGCACTCTGGGGGTACTTTTCCTAAGACATACCTGTTCATCCTTTTTGTTGTTCAGGGGATGTTCACCACTCTTCTCCAAGACCACAACTCAAAGACGTCAGTTCTTCTCATCATCCTTATTCATGGTCCAGCTCTGAGATACATAAAAAGTGATTAAAAAGACCATGGCCTGAATTAGGTACTCCCCAGTCTTTAAACTGACATCATTGCTCCTTAATATTTTAAGAAGTCCTTGACAGAAGACTTTCCAGTGCAATACAGCTTCTGTTTTTTTGGCTGTCATTACCAAACGTGTTGATTCTAGATGTAAGGAAGGTGAAATTGTTGAAAATTTCAGTCTTTTTTCCATTTATCATGATAAATGGTTTGGGAATTAGAGTGTTTTTAAAGGAGTTATAAATGGTGAGTCTCCTCACTCCCTGGGCAAGAAGAAATTAAAATGCCTTGAAGGTCCCCAGATGCTATGACATCCCTGGAGAGGGCATGGAGGGGATCTTTAGATAAGGAACCAGCTGTGCTGTGGCCCCAGGCCCACTATGGTTCCGCGGAGGCCACAGAAGGGCACCAGGTCTGTTCCTGCTCCTTGTTGTCTACTATTGCAGTGCAGGGCTCCTAGGATCCCTGACCTCTTGGGGAAGAGTGGAGAATTAGTGGGGCTAGCTCAGGGAGGTTGGGTGGTCAGCAGATCCTTCAGATTACCATTGTCCCAGAAACCTAACCCCAACTGAGTTCACCCTTGATGATCCCCAGCTGATGGCTCAAAGAAACAACCAAGGAGTTAGAGGACAAATAGATAGTCCCAGCACAGAGACCTGCTGTTCACCACCAGACACTGGCAGCCTTTGGGCTAAGTTGTAGGATTCTAGCTCTGAAGGGGTCCTAGGAGGAACCCTGAGCCACCCTCCTGCCCAGTGTCCCAGCGCACCGACTGACCCTGTATAGGGGCAGCCCTCAGCTAGCCCCTGGCCTCAGGGAGTGAGGAGATCTGTGTGGGAGCTGGCTCAGGATGAGAAGAGAAATTTCAGCTCTACAAAAATAGGGCAATTAAGTGTACCTGCATGCCCCATCCATTGCTTTGTTTGCTTGCTTGCTTGTTTGTTTGTTGTAGGATTTTTGTCAGTTTGCTGGGGTATTCAAACCCCATCCCAGGCACCATGCTGTTTGGCCTGTAGTAGATTTGCGTCAGTGGTTGAGGATATTTCTTTGTCCTTTATAAAGCATCATACCATCATCACATTTGACACGAGGCCTAACTAGCTTCTTAATATGATCTCTCACTTGTCCATCCTAGTCTGATTCTATTTGGAGTTGGTTTATTTGCTGTTGTTTTGAAGGCTGCTCTCTCAGGAAGCTGAGCTCTGGGGAGATCTTCCCTTTGTCTATAAACCGCTCAGCTTTCAGCCTCCCAGCCCCCTGCCTGGTTTCTCTGTGAGGCCCAGGAACCTCTCTAAGAGGCTAAGCCCGAAGCCCTGCCAAGCACCCGGGGAAGCATGTGGCCTGCAGTAGCTTCAGGAGGGCCATGTATGGCATCTCTCAGTCCCAGCTCCCGGGCCTGAGCACCTGTGTGTACCCTCGTGCATCGGGCTACTCGGTAGCTGAGCAAAAGACATCCAGCCAGGGAGCTGTTTGATTTGTGGGTGCCTGAGAGCTCAGAGGAGGGGAGGGGAGGTCCTGGGGTCTGCTCTGGGGGAAAAGCTCATTTGAGTGAGAAATGAGAAGTAAGGGCCTGACTGATGGTGGATAAGGTGTCCTTTTGAGGGCAGAGGGTCACTACCCTAAAGATGGTGGGAAGGTGACGGTTTGTCTGGGACAGTATCATCTTAGGGTACATTTAGCAGATTTGGCAAGCACTCTCCCTGACTGCCCTGAGGAAGCTGTCGCCACCTGGTGGACTGGTTCCCCTTGAGCTGCCACTCGCAACAAGCACACTTTTCTCCCTTTCCACTCTGCTCTGGGACCATGTCCTGGTTTGTGGCTGGGCTCCTTGGGAGCCTCGGTTCACATATCTGTACAGTGTCCGAGCCACAGTTGGTGTCAGGAAATGGGGTTGGTGAGATGGACAGAAGGGAGAAGAACATGCCCTGAGCTCCTTTCCTGCCATCGTGGATGTGTGGATGTGGCACTGTGCACTTCACAATTATTTTCTTAACCAGTTGGAGGAGGAGAAATCTCTTCCAAAGCAGATGTTGCAGGTTGGCAGGGGGATGTGGCCTTGGAAGGCTGGTGAGTGGTTACAGGTGGGCCCTCTGACTGACTAAGTTAAAGAAAGTGAGCAGTGTGTGTGTGTGTGTAGGTAGGTAGGTAGGTAGGTAGGCGAATCCTGCCCATCAGGCCTGGAAGCAGCGTGGGCTGGGCAGGGAGCCGCGTGGGCCGGGCAGGGGACTGGGGCTGACGGGCCCCTTTGCCCAGCCGCTGTGCCGGGACTGGAGTGCTGTTTGTTCACTTCACTGAGTCAAGGTCAGAGGAGAGGTGAGCTGATGGCGTAACTGGAAGTGCCTCTTCCTTTGTGCTGCACCTGCAACTGCAGATCCAGAGGAAGTGGAATCATTGCCCACGGCTGGGGTGCAGTAAATTGCATTAGTCCAATAAGACATAACGTTTGGGAAAATCAGACATTAACGGCATCTGACGGCAGGTCCAATCAGGCAGTCCATTTTCTCGCCTCATATTATTTAATGTTAGTGGCATAACCAGCTTGTAGCTGGCTGGCATGGGGCTGGCAGCTGAATCAATTACCTGCAAACACTAATTTAGAGCATGCTCAATTGGCTGTATAAGCAGGTCCTGTTCTCATATGTCACAAGGAGATTAATAATGTGATGGTTTTGACAGCGTGAGAGGGTCACTGAAAAGGTGTGAATTCTTGAGTCTGCACGTTGTTGTTGTGTGCCATTGAGTCCGGACCAACTCAAAGTTGACCTTCCAGCCGGTTTTCAGAGGCAGTAAATTGCACAGGAGGAGATGGTGCATCTTTCTCCATTGGAGCAGCTGGTGGATTTGAACCGGCGCCTTTTGGTTGGCAGCACACCTTCTTCCCTCCCCCCCCCCCCCCCCGAGCTCCCTGTGGTCACCACAGGGGCTGTAAAGCCTGGCTTCTCTGTGCTAGACGGGCTCCATGGCACACAGCCCTGAGTGTGTGTGGAGACCTGAGAGAGGCCTGGGTATTTAGGGGCTTTTCTTTCTCAGTCTTTTGATCCTTTGTTAATAAAGAATTTGTCCAGCTTTGGTCCTTTTTATTAAAAGTCTTACTGCTTCTGCAAGCAACAAATGCTGGCGAGGTTGTGGAGAGACTGGAACCCTTATTCACTGTTGGTGGGAGTGTAAAATGGTGCAACCACTGTGGAAAGTGATGTGGCGCTTTCTCAAAAAGTTGCAAATAGAGATACCATTTGACCCAGCAATTCCACTACTGGGAATATACCCTAAAGAGACCATAAATGACATCCAAGTAGATATATGCATACCCATGTTTATTGCGGCTTTGTTTACAATAGCAAGGAGTTGGAAACAACCTAAATGCCCATCAACAAACGAATGGGTAGAGAAGCTGTGGTATATTCGCACAATGGAATATTATGCTGCATTGAAAAACAAGGAACTCATGCAATATTATTCAAAATGGGTGACCCTGGAGGACATTATGCTGAGTGAGGTATCTCAGTCACAAAGGGACAAATGCTATATGGTGCCACTGTTGTAGAATGAGGCTGACATTGGGGTGGGGGTAAGACTAAAAACTGGATGAAATATGTTTACGGCATTGAA